TCCCTCTTCTTCTTCTTCCTCTTGTTGTTGTTGTTGTTGTTGTTGTTGTTGTTGTTGCTGTTGTTGTTGTTGTGCAGGTCGCCAGCGTGCAGCACGGTTATGGCGCCCAGGTATGTACCGCTGACGCAGGTATGTCCTCCGTCCCTCTTCTTCTTCTTCTTCTTCTTCCTCTTGTTGTTGTTGTTGTTGTTGTTGTTGTTGTTGTTGCTGTTGTTGTTGTTGTGCAGGTCGCCAGTGTGGAGCACGACTATGGCGCCCAGGTAAGTACCGCTGACGCAGGTATGGCGTCCGCCCCTCTTCTTCTTCTTCTTCTTCTTCTTCTTCTTCTTCTTCTTGTGGTTGTTTTTGTTGTTTTTGTCCAGATCACCAGCGTGGAGCACGGCTATGGCGCCCAGGTAAGTACCGTTAACGAAGGTATGGCCTCCGCCCCTGTTCTTCTTCTTCTTCTTTTTCTTCTTGTTCTTCTTCTTCTACTTCTTCTTCTTCTTCTTCTTCTTCTTCTTCTGCTTCTTCTACCTCTTCTTCTTCTTGTTGTTGCCGTTGTTGTTGTTGTTGTGCAGGTCGCCAGCGTGGAGCACGGCTGTGGCGCCCAGGTAAGTACCGCTGACGCAGATATGGCCTCCGCCCCTCTTCTTCTTCTTCTTCTTTTTCTTGTGGTTGTTGTTGTTGTTGCTGTTTTTGTGCAGATCGCCAGCGTGGAGGACGGCTATTCTCCCATGTAAGTACGGCGGACACCACGTGACAGCTGATCGAAGGGTGAGGAGGAGGCACCGTGCATGGGACTAGTACTCCATCCCGGTCACGAACGTGAACGGTGGGGCGGTAGAAGTTCACCGGGTGGTCCTCACTTCGCAGCCATGACATGCCCAAAATCATGTCGAACTTAGTGTCCAGAATGTCGAAGGACACGGCCTCGCGTGCATGCGGGGCGAAATACACAGGGACGTTGTCAATGCACCGGTCAATTGACTTGTGCGTGTGACCATCGGCCAATGTCACGTGTGTCGGATGGGACTTCCTCCTGACGCGTGGGCCAAGGCCGGCGCGTACCATGAAGTCCTGACTTATGTAGTTGCGAGTTGCACCGCAATCGATCAAGGCGCTGCAGGTCGCCTCTCCGATCTGAATGCGTACATACAACAATGGTGCGTCAATGTCGTCGTACCGTTGTGTCTTGAACTCGCGGTCGATCTTCGCGATGTACTCCTGAAGGTCGACAACCTCTACTCCGGTGTCCATCAACGGAGTTGGTACTGCAGTGTGCAAATACTCCCGCAATTGTGCCATGAGCACATTGTAATGCGGTTTCGACAATCGACCGGTCGGGGGAACGGGCATCCACTGGAAGTCCACGACTGTCAACGGGTCGAGCTCTTCAAGTCTTGACCACATCGACGAATCCCTTGAGGTAAATGATGGCGGAACTGCCGAATCGGTTGCCGATGGAGATGAAACCGTGCATGCGGTGGAGTGTTGCACGTGGAGTGGTTGGTCCAGCGGTGGGACCAAGTGGACAGCATAGTCCTCGTAAGTGACACGAGAACTTGCGACATTCGCATCCTCCCCAGATGCGTAGGAGGCCGCTAGCAAGGCGGCCGGATCTGGCGGAGTGGGAGGTGGAGTCGCCTCACCTCCCGCGCTACTCAGT